TCTGTGAAGCTCCTGCAGACGTATACGACTAATGCGCGCGGCGCTCAGGCGAGAGTCAAATTTTGATAACAGTCCGCCCTCCATCCGCGAAGCCCCTGCAAACTCTGGAAACGAATGTGTGCGGCACTGTGGCAAGAACCATATTTTGATAACGACTCGCCCTCTATCGTTGACACCCGTGCGAACTTTTAAAACGAATGCGCGCGGCGCTAAGGCGAGCACTACATGTTGAAGACGGCCCGCCCTGCACCCGTGAAACTCCTGCAAGCTTGCGAACTTTTACAACGAATACGCGCGGCGCGAAGGCGAGAACCACATTTTGAAAACGGCCCGCCCTCCATCCGTGAAACTCCTGAAAACGTTTCAGACGAACGAGCGCAGCGCTGGGGCGAGAGCCACATTTTGAAAACGGCCCGCCCTGCATCCGTGAAACGGTTGCAAATCTCAATACTCAGAATCATAATGCGTCAGGAAATCTCAGGCGGAACGCCCTGCCCGCCCTATCGACGCGCCTCGGGGCGCGACGGGGAGGAGTTAGGTGTAAAGAAAAAAGGACTGAGGAGGAGGAGGAGGAGGAGGAGGAGGAGGAGGGAGGAGGCGGACAAGGATTTTTTCCGTCGGCGGCGAGGCAGAGGCAGTCCGCTCCAGCGTGTGGCTATCCGGGGCAACCGACAGGCGACTCGTCCGGCGTGCAGGAGGGAGGAAACAAGACGAGGGCGGCCGCGCGGGGGGAGGCCTCCTCCTCCTCCTCCGCCTCCTCCTCCTCCTCCTCCTGCTCCTCCTCCTCCTCCTCCTCCCCCTCCTCCTCCTCCTCCTCCTCCTCCTCCTCCTCCTCCTCCTAGGGGGAGGGGAAAAGACGGCCGAGGACGGGAAGGAGGAGGCGGCGCAAGAAGACGGGGAGACCCGGGCGCTGCCCTCCTCCGCTCCAGGCGCCACCGCCCGCCGCCACACCTCGGCAGAGTGCCCCGTGCCGCTCGGGCGTGGGATAGCGCGCTGCTCGCAGGATCCAGGCCCGCCAGAGAGTGGAGGCCTGGAAGTGGGCACCAACACCAACACAGGGGGTTGCCTCCACAGGGGGAAGGTGATCCTAGATTACGGTGTTGGTGGCAATAGCTCGGTCACCTCGGAAGCCAGAATAGTACCACCATCACCGAGATCGGGATCCTCTTCCGTCGGTGGAGGCACACCGCCGATATTGGTGTTGGTGTCAACCTCTAGGCCTGCGAAGAGAGGCACGGAGGGACCCCCCTTCGGCGGCGAGTGCTGGCCCCCGTTCGGCGGCGAGCGAGGGAGGGAGAAATGGGGAGGAGAAGGCCTGCTCAGAAGGCGGCGGGGCTTCTCGGAAGCGCCGGCGCCTTCGGAGACATGCTTTTTTCTGCTTCGATGGTGACGCTGTACGAAAACTTCTCGGAAGGCCACGGGGGGCCTCCGAAGCTTCTGAGAAGGCCTTAAGCCTTCTCACTTCCCCCCTCGCTCGCCGCCGGCCCGTGACGTGCGCCCTGACCCCCTCCACGGGCTGCCAGTCCACAGCTCGGGCCGCAGACAGCCGTTCGGGAAGATCCCAGCCTCCCCGGAGCGCTCTCGACGCGGCGCAGCTCTAGAAAGAGAGATCACCCCAGGCCTCCAAGGCCGCCGAGATCCTCGGAGGAAACTTCTGGCAGCCTCCTCCACGGGCGCACCCGACGGGGGGCGATGAGAGCAGGAGGAGGTGGACGGACGGCGGACGAGCAAGAGAACGCCACGGGTGTACCACGACGATTTCGACGACGACGACGACGACGACGACGACGACGACAGCGACAGCGACGACGACGACGACGACGACGACGACGCGCTGTGCAATTTCGGCAGGGCGTTCACGACGAGGCCGGGGTCTGCTGCCCGCGCGGGGCAGGAAGATGCAGGCGTCCGTGAGCTCCCCCTCGGAGCAGTCCCGTGCCGCGAGCTCGAAGTCCCTTCGGCGACCCTATGGGCGGCGGGCTCGGAGGCCCGAGCGGGCTGTCGGGAGCTGTGGTCGGTTCTTCGAGCCTGATCCTCATCCTCCCCTTCTCCCGCCTCCTGCTTCTACTCCACCTCCCCCCCATGCGCTCGAGTTTCCAAATCCCCCAAACCCCCATCCCTATCCTCCTCGGCCTCCTCCTCCTCCTCCTCCTCCTCCTCCTCCTCCTCCTCCTCCTCCTCCTCCTCCTCCTCCACAGCAGCAGCAACACCATCACCATCACCATCGTCATCACCATCACCATCCTCCTCCTCGCTTCTCCTCCTCCTCCCCTCCTCCTCAATCATCATCATCTCATCATCATCATCATCATCATCATCATCATCATCATCATCATCCTCATCCTCATCCTCATCCTATCATCCTCATCATCATCATCATCATCATCATCATCATCATCATCATCATCATCATCATCATCATCATCATCATCGTCATCCTCATCAGCATCATCATCATCATCATCATCAGCATCAGCAGCATCATCATCATCATCATCATCATCATCATCATCATCATCATCCTCATCCTCATCCTCGTCCTCGTCCTCGTCCTCGTCCTCGTCCTCCTCATCCTCATCCTCCTCCTCGGCCTCATCCTCCTCATCCTCATCCTCATCCTCAGCCTCATCCTCATCCTATCATCATCGTCAGCAGCAGCATCATCATGAGCATCAGCAACAGCATCACCATCCTCATCATCCTCATCCTGATCATCATCACCATCATCATCATCATCAGCAGCAGCATCAGCATCAGCATCATCATCAGCGACAGCAGCATCATCATCATCCGCATTCGCATCCGCATCCTCATCCTCATCCTCATCCGCATCCGCATCCGCATCCGCATACTCATCTTCATCCTCATCACATCATCATCATCATCATCATCATCATCATCATCATCATCATCATCATCATCATCATCATCATCATCATCATCATTGTCATCATCATCATCAGCATCAGCCTCATTATCATCCTCCACACCATCATCATCATCATCATCATCATCATCATCATCATCATCATCATCATCATCATCATCATCATCATCATCACCATCATCATCATCGTCATCAGCATCATCAGCATCATCATCATCATCATCATCATCATTCTCAGCAGCAGCAGCATCAGCATCGTCATCATCAGCATCAGCAGCAGCACCATCATCATAATCAGCATCGTCACCAGCATCAGCATCAGCATCCAAATACTCATTATCAATCATCAGCAGCATCATCATCAGCTTCATCATCTCAGCATCAGCAGCACTATCAGCATCATCATCAGCAGCATCAGCATCATCAGTATATTCATCAGCAGCATCATCCTCATCCTCATCCTCATCATCATCCTCATCATCCTCATCATCATCAGCAGTAGCATCATCATCGTCATCATCATCATCATCAGCAGCAGCATCATCATCATCCTCGTCCTCATCATCATTAGCAGCATCATCGTGAGCATCATCATCATCAGCATCAGCATCATCAGCATCACCATCATCATCAGCAGTGGCATCCTCATCATTATAAACATCATCATCGTCAGCATTATCATCATCATCATCATCATCATCATCATCATCATCATCATCATCATCATCATCATCATCGTCATCATCATCATCATCATCACCATCATCGTCATCATCACCATCACCATCATCCACATCCTCATCATCATCATCATCATCATCATCATCATCATCATCATCATCATCATCATCACCATCCTCCTCTCCCCTCAATCTCCTCCTCCTCCTCCTCCTTGTCCTCCTCCTCCTCCTCCTCCCACCCGCCGCTCTGGCACTCAGGAGCGCCAGGCGGCCGGGGGGGGGGCGCCACGCGGGCTGCGCGCGATGGGTGCGGCCTGTGGGCCAGTGGGCACTGCGCGTGCTGGCGTTCAGCACGATGTTCGCGACTACAGTCGAGGCGTTGACCTAAGGAACCCTTAATAAGGAACGAGGCCCCCTTTTTCCATCAGTTAAACTTCGATTTCCCATGGGAAACGTAAGGAACAGATTGGGAAAGCTGTGAAACAATTAAGGAACAGCGAGCCCCTCCCCAACGAAAAGGGTTCCTTCTTCAGCGCCCCGATTTTAGGACCAGATTGCAGGAGATAGTTCTCGGCGGCGAGCGAGGGGGGAAGTGAGAAGGAGAAGGCCTTCTCACAAGCTTCGGAGGTCCCCAGGCCTTCTGAGGAGTGTTCTAAGCCTTCCCTGTAGACACAGGAAACTTCTCGGAAGGAGGAGGAGGAGATCAGGGGCCATGGAAAAGTTGCGCATCCACAGCTTGAAAGTTCTTTGGTTTCATCGTGCCACCCAGTCATCACACCCCTAACCGCCCCAGAGAGAGGCGATCGGGGCCCTTCCTGATTTCCCCCCTCGGCTACACGCAAGAGCGACCCTGGGTAAGAGTGGCCTTTTGTGCGCGGCTTTTCGGGGGCCGCGGGGTGGCCAAACCCAGGCGCGCAAGCCGCTGCTGCCACCTCGCGTTCAGCGATCGGGGGAACCCCATTGAATCCGCACCAAAGGTCACTCCCGCGAAAGCTCACTCCTTCCGTGTAATCGACACCCCCCCCTCACCATCGCCCTCTCGTGAGCCGCCAACCGTGGCCGGCGTGCCGCTTCGCGGCTCCGCGGCCGGAACAGGCGAGCGGGCCAGGCGCGCGCGCGAAAAAAATGCGAGCGACGAAGAGAGACGGGCCTCACGCGACACTCCGCAGCGGCCTCACGCCGCAGCTTACGCGGGCCGCCAGCGCGGTACGCTGCTCTTTAGCCACGCGCAGAGGGGGAAGGGGGACGGGGGACGGCTTCTTAGAAGCAGCCTCCTTCTTAAAAGCCTCCCCCCCTCCCCCTACCCCCCTCTGCGCGCCGCCAAGGTCTGGAAGCGAGGGCGCTTGCGCGCGACCTTACGCGGGCAGTTCACGCGCGAATGTCGGCGCGGTCGATCCCATTTTCCGTCGCTCATGCGAGAACGTGGGAGTCGCTCAGTCCTTCTCCCTAACCACCTCGGGGCCGCCCAGGGCGAGCGTGGGCGGAGGGAGTTCGACGAGCACCAGTCGGCGTCACGCCGCCTCGTCTCTATCAGGGGGATAGACCAGTAGTGAACGAAACTGTGCCCAAAAAACCGGCCCGAGTGTGACCGACACCGCCGCTCGAATTTTCCCGAACGCGCCAGGAGTGTGACCGAAATTCATGGTTCGAAACCAGAACTGATTTTCAAGTCTGGTCCCAGTGTCGGCCACACTACTTTTTCGGTCAAAAGTTCGGGCACGGCTTCGGTCACCGACTTTTCTGAGGTCACATAGCTGGGAGGGGCCAGGAGCCATGAAATCGGCGGCGCTCCGAAAGCGGAGGTGCGAGGGGGCAGGACCTGTACCAGGCGGCGGGTGTTTGTTGGAACCCCCCCTGCCCTCCGAGAGGCCGTCTCTCTGTTTTCGGAGAAGGCTCGAGAAGCTTCTTCAGGGCCGGAAGCTGTCTGAGCCCTCCGAGAAGACCCGCCCCCTCCCTGAGCATCTTCTTAGGGCGGAGGGCTCAGGGTGAAATCCAGGTGGGATCCTGCACCTCGAAACTCGATCCGTCTTGTGATTCCCCTCTTGCAGACTTTCCCCAACCTCGAGAACCAATCGAAACGGCATTTCAGATCTCCCCCTTTTGCCCTCCGCCCCTCCGATCCACGATCTGCTCAGACTCCCAGCTAGGGGCGCAGATCGAGGCGGAGGAGGGGGAGGAGGAGGGGGAGGGGGACGGGGAGGGAGGAGGAGGAGGAGGAGGAGGAGGAGGAGGAGGAGGAGCCTCCGCCACCCCTCCTGGGCGCGCCGTCGGAGCAAGGCGGAACAGCAAAGGGGTGCGGGAGCAGGGGCCGACGGGGGGCTCCCGGGCCTCTTCGGCCCGCGGGCCGAGAGGCACCCCGGAGCATCGGGTCGCGGGGCCTCCGTGCGCGATCGGGGCGCGCCGTGGCCGGCGGGGGGAGGAGGAGGAGAAGGAGGAGGAGGAGGAGGAGGAGGAGGATGGAGGAGGAGAAGGAGGAGTGAGGTGGGAGGAGGAGGAGGAGGAGGAGGAGGAGGAGGAGGAGGAGGAGAGGAGGGGGGAGGAGGAGGAGGGGGAGGAGGAGGAGAGGAGGAGGGGAGAGGAGGAGGGGAGAGGAGGCGGAGGAGGAGGCGAGGAGAGGAGGAGGAGAGGGGAGGAGAGGAGGGAGGGCGGGAGGGAGGGAGGGAGGGAGGGGGGAGGGCGGTAGGGAGGGAGGGGGGAGGAGGTGGAGAGGAGGGAGGAGGAGGAGGAGGAGGAGGGGAGGGGTGAGGAGTAGGAGGAGGAGGAGGAGGGAGGAGGAGGGGGAGGCAGTGAGGAGGAGGAGGAGGAGGAGGAGGAGGAGAAGGAGGAGGAGGAGGAGGAGGAGGAGGAGGAGGAGGAGGGAGGAGGAGGAGGCGGAGGAGGAGGAGGAGAAGGACTCCCAAGAGGGCTTCAAGAGGACTCCGCAGATCCTCTCCGCATGCCGACCGCCGAGGCCGCCTCGTCGATCCCAGCCGGACTCCGAGTCGGAGCCCAGCGCGCACGATTACATGCCACGCCGCGCGATGAAGGAAGTCCGAGATTTCCACTATGGCGCAAACACGAACAGCGTCGACGAGCTGCACAAATCCCTTTTGCGGGCGACCCTCGCCTTGCAACAGAACTCGCGCAGCAGCGTCAGTCGCGGAGCGATTCGCCCCCAGCGCAACGCATTCCCAACCGCTCGTTCGCCCAGCCTCACGCGATATCCAGCCGGGCTTTGGCCCGCAGTCGATATAAAGAAGCCAAGAGGGCAGTCGGTCGGCAACCCCCCGCAGGATTGCGTCGCAAGACAATGCCCAAATGCAACCGACGATCAGGCCAAGTCGCCCGCCGCTCGCAGAGGGGAACAAAACATATCCCAAGACCGAGCGTGCCCGATCGGGCACCAGAGCACACCGTCTGGGACTCCACGCGTCGGCGCCCACGGCGGTGCAGAACGACGAAGGACTTTGCGGCCCAGCGGAGCACTTCGACACCCGCGAGAGGCACGCGAGGCCCAGAAACCCTGAGACGACCCAGACATTCCTGAAGAGCCCCTAGGGACGATGGAGACGGCCCTCCATCCCAGATGCCAGCCCCGAAGCCCCGCTGAACGTCAGCGGCGTCGTCGTCGTAACTGGCGGGGTCCAAGGTGCGCCCGCTCGACTGATAGGGGGTCACATGCGAACCCTACCCCTACCCCCCACGATTTCTGAGGGGGAGGGTGGGGTTCACTTCGTTCGGGAGCTCCCGAGCGAAATAAACCCCACCCTCCCCTGAGAAATCGTGGGGGGGGCAAGGGTAGGGTTCGCATGTGGCCCCTTAACTGAGTTGCAACCCTCGAGGCTTCGCCCAGCAGCGGGCAGGCGCAGTGCAGCTGCGCATGCAGTCGCGAAGCCACCTACAGGTACCTCGCCCTCGAAGTCCCCCGAGCCTGCGCCCGTTGGCGCCGGCAAGCTTCGAGAGGGGGGCCGCCGCTGCTCGCAGCAGCAGCGCGCTCAGCCAGGCTGGCGTCGCAATTACTGCCGCCAGGTAAACCCGTACAGTAAGGATGCGCGGTAAGGATGCAAGAGCCTTGGACGCCCATGCCGAGGCTCTTCGAGCGGGGCTGGCCTTCGAAAGTGGTTGAGGATGGGCCGAAGATGACCGAAGAGGCAAGGATGCAAGGGCACCCTTGAGAAGGTTGCCCACCCGTACTGTACGGGCCGGCTGTAAATCACAACTTCCTCAACCAAAGAACGAGGCAAAAAGTGACGCTGGCGAGACGGCCAGCGCCCAAAACGACATCCGCCAGCGGCCGCCACGCAGCGCGGTGCCGAGGCTGAGGAGCGCGGCCGCGCTTGGCCACCACGCGCGCAGGGTCGTCCGCCCCGTGCCGAAGAATGCGAAGGCCCCTGGGGCACTCGGCGCGAGCAGGCCCGCGGTGCGAAATGGCACCAAGAGCCGAGACATGCCGGCGGGCAACTTCCAACCCGCGGCCCTGAAACAGGGGCGCCAGCTCCCCGTCAGCGCCAACGCGCACCCGATGACAGAACGCGCCCCATCGTTGTGGTCACGAGTCGGGGTCGCCTGGCCCAGGGTGGGCGCCAGCTCGCCTGGCGCCACCAGTCCAAGAGAAACCAGGATGTCCATGCTCAGCGGCCCCATCAGCGACCCCAACGCCCTCCTCGAACGCGGAGGCGCGCGAAGGCTCAGCCGCAGAGGTACTTTTTTGATCCGCGGCCCGCAAGGAGAAGTCCAGAGGGCGGTATGACCGAGGCTGGGACACAGCGACAGATAATTGGCGCGACACCGCGCAGAGTGCACCTGCAGATAATTAGAAAGGGGCGGCCACGGACAGCCGCAGATATACGGGGAGCACGAGCTTGTCAATCTGTCTGGCCCTCGACCGAGGTCCGATCCCCAAGACCACGGGGCAGCGGGAGCGCGGCGGGCAATCTGGGACTTGCCGCGGCCCCCCCTCTCCGCCGCCATCCCGCCACTAGCCAGCCAACCCTAGATCTGCGCGACATTGCCTGTCGACGCCAGTCGACGAGATCCACCAGGCCCGGCAATCAAGGGACCGTCGACCTCCACCACCAAGCTGGACTCGCTGAGCTTGGTCGGACTGGGTAGGGGCGGAGGCGGAGGCGGAGGCGGAGGAGGAGGCGGAGGCGGAGGCGGAGGCGGAGGCGGAGGCGGAGGCGGAGGCGGAGGCGGAGGAGGAGGAGGAGGAGGAGGAGGAGGAGCGCGATGCACGGGGCTCGGTGGATTCGAAGCAACACATCGATGTTCTCAAGCCTCGCGGCAATGCCCCCGTGCAAGCCAATGCCTTGTTCGAGGTATAGGGCCAACGCCAGGAAGCCTCGTCTTGGCCACAGAGAAACGAACATTCCATCGGGGATGGACAGAGCCCCATTTAACACGACGTCGTTTAGTGGAAACGACCTCGGGCCCAAACCTGGCGGGCGCAAGCCTGGAAAATGACGGCCGCGGCACCCTCGCGAGAACCGAAAACGGACAATTCACTAATCGACGTGTCAGGGTTGGGGGGTCTAGGCTCAATTCAGCCATCGACCTACCAGTTGGACCCAAAACGCAATCAGCGGCGAAAGCTGTCCAACCATTGCGATGACACCATTCTTCGGCCCGAAGTCGCTCAACCCCCCGCAGGCGGACCCCATGCGACGCAACTGCCTCCCTCCCTCCCTCCCCCCTCGGAGTCGGGCTCTGACGGCCCCAGGGCAGGCCAGGGGCAGCGAGGAGGGCGGGCGGCGTTGGAGAGCGAAAGCGAACAGCTGAGAACACCACCTGGCCCCCATTGGCATCGATCGTCCTCCTCCTCCTCCTCCTCCTCCTCCTCCTCCTCCTCCTCCTCCTGCTGCTGCTGCTGCTGCTGCTGGTGCTACTGCTCCTGCTTCTGCTCCTGCTCCTGCTCCTCCTTCTCCGTTGTCTCCTCCTGCTCCTCCTCCTCCTCCTCCTCTCCTTCCTCCTCCTCCTCCTCATCATCATCCTCTCCTCCTCCTGCTGCTTCTGCTGCTGCTCCTGGCTGCTGCTGCCTGCTGCTGCTTCAGCTTCTGCTCCTTCTCCTGCTCCTAGTTCTCCGGTGTCACCTCCTCCTCCTCCCTCCTCCTCACTCCTCCTCCTCCTCCCTCCTCCACCTCCTCCTCCTCCTCATCCTCCTCTTCCTTCTCCTCCTCCTCCTCCTCCTCCTCCTCCTCCTCCTCCTCCTCCTCCTCCCCCTCTTTCACATAGTTGTCCTCCTCATCTTCCTCCTGCACCTCTCCTCCTCGCCGTCCTGATTACAACCCTCCTTCTCGATCATCATCATCATCATCATCATCATCATCATCATCATTCATCATCATCATCATCATCATCATCATCAGCAGCAGCAGCAAGCAGCAGCAGCATCAGCATCAGCATCATCATCATCATCATCATCATCATCATCATCATCATCATCATCATCATCAGCATATCATCCATCATCATCATC